TACAAGCTCTGAGCTGTGGTTACTACCTGGCATCTTACATGAGCTGTTAAACTTATGGCATTACAAGCAAACTGAATTTTAATGCTCCTCCTTGCAGAGTGAAAGTTTTATTATTTTTTTTATTTTTTGTCTTTTGCAGCTTATTTCAGTCAGAAATATTGTGTCAGTGTGTCTAATCTAATCTGCTGAGATGAGTGCGATCAACATGAAGCAGTTTTCTGTGCTTTAATGAGCGCATTCTCTCTGAACTAACATATTCAAAATTCTGTTGTTTAACAATTACTCAAAGTTACAAGAATATTATAATGTACATAAAAATAAAAAATACCTCTCAAATAATAGACTTTCAAAAATAATTACAGTTTTTTTAAACTTATGTTCATTTAAATTTCTTGTATATAAAAAGTTCAAATTTTAAGGCAAAGTATGGACTCAAAAACACAAAGCTTTTCTTGAACTACACTCTAAAAATGAAATGTTGGATTTACTTAACCATGTTATGTKACCTGGTTCCACTTAACTGAGTTGAGTAAATTCAAAACAACATGCTCATGTTCTTTGGTTAAAAAACTGGTATATTGCTTTGAATTTACTCAACTCAGTTAAGTGGAACCAGGTCACATAACATGGTTAAGTAAATCCAACATTTCATTTTTTTACAGTGTACATCAAGAGGTTCAGTTTGAAGGAGTTTACCCAAGTAGTTTTACAGATATACTGAAATGCAATTTTTAAATGCAGGTCCACACTCAATGTAAACGAAAAAAAAACTGGAAGGTTCATGTGATAACCTACGTTAGGCTGGCTGTACTTTACACATGTAAATACATTCGACAGAATGAGGCGAGTGTAGAACGTTGGAGAAAACTTGTTTAATTTAAGAATAGAGTAAGAAGAGTACGGTACAAACAAGATATACAGATTTTGTTTTTTAAAGGGGCGATTTTATGTGCTTTCCAAGCCTATATTTCAAATTTATACTAAAACAAGGTAACTATGTCACATTTTCAGCTTATGAAAGAGCTAGGTTTTTGTAAAAATCCCCAAAACAATTTACTTCTCATCTTGACAGTTTCTAAATGCCTTGAAATAGGTCTCTGTCTCTTTAAGAAAATCCAACCACTTCGGTCACGTCCATTTCAGCACATAGCCTGCCTGGGGGGGTGGGGGTGGGGTGCATGCGTGTGCTATGATACAGTTTACTTAGCATCTGAAAATACATTTCCTCAAAGGTATTTTGATTCTGAAAAGAGCTTCACTGAGTGAGAAGTAGTGTTAAGAGCAGCTGACAGTTTTAAGTTTCACTTTCACTTTGCTCTGTTACTGCCGAGAGCCTGCAGGAGTCATGGGCGGGGTGTGTGAGGTGGGGAGGTGTGCTCCGTGATGATGAAGTTCGACTTAAAGACACGTCCCAGGGGTGTTTCTGGTACCAAAAGTTGTTTCTGGTCCCCACCTGTCATTTTGCTCCTCAGCATGGCTTCCTAAAAACACTGCAGGATTTCTCAAACATGCATGAATGAGTCAAAGCAAGGCTTTGGGCATGGTTTATATAAAACTCAAAAAAGTTTATTTTACATGATATTGCCCCTTTGATATGTGAATTTCTTTTGCGCAGTCTCTGCTGTGAGTTCCCTTAATTATTCCTTTGTAGATTAAAAAGAAAAGTTAATTCAAGTCTAAGTTCACAGGATTGGTTCAAGAATTTTGAAGTGAGATTTTGTAGAGTGGTTATTATCAGTAAATATCTTACCTGTTGTTGAATGGGCTCAGTTTGAGGAAATGTGATGCATTAAATTGGTTGTCAGAAATCAGAGTTTTTGAGTTTCAAACAGTAAAAATTGACTGAAGGCTGTGTTTAAATTATTTGTTAACTGGTGCGCTCTGTTGTGAATCAAGCATTTTGTAGTGTTGTTCAAACTTAGCAACAGTTTTTTGTGTTTTATAAGGTCCTTTAGAAACTAAGTTGTACACTACGTTGGCCAAATAGACCATAATGCACTGTGATTGTCATTTAATCAGCAGAGCAGACTAATGCTAACACCTACATCAGGTAAAATGTAATTTAAAAAAATACAATAATTGAATAAACACTGTTAAATTTCTGGAACACTGAGTACCCTGGAGCAGGTAAACTGAACAATGAGTCAAGACACAGCAAATACAGGGTATGTGATATTTACAGGTGAAAATAAACTCAATCCAAGGACACCGGAACAGTTTGTGGAAAGATGAAGGTGAGAGCTGAATGTCCAGGTGAGGATGATTTGGATAATTTCAGAATTAGGTTCTCGTCTTTAATTGTTTCTGTTGTTTCAGGTTTGGAACTGGAGAACAGTTAATCCAGCTGAAGTCCTTGGAGGATAGACGAGGTGGTGCAGGTGAATGGCAGAGCAAAAAAAGGAAGGACAAGGAGGGGATTAAGAGAGGTAAGTGGCAATGTTGGTACTCATAAATAGGCAGAGATGGTATTGGACTGATGGAAAAGAGATGTCACTTTGCTGTTTGGGGAAAAGAGCAGATGAATAACAAACAGAAGCCTCAAAGACAGACAGACCTGTTGCATGGAGGATGTGAGTGTTGTGAGTGCATTCTACCCACTGAAGATGTTGGCACCAGGCAGATGGATTATTGTTGATGATGACACAGTGAAAGGCAGTCTCCAGCTCATGATTGCATCTCTCCAATTGTTCATTTGATTGAGAATGGTATCCAGAAGAGAAGCTGCTGAGAGAAAGCTGGCCAGATGTGAGAGATGAAATGAGGACCTCTGTCAGAAACGATGACGCAGGGAATACCCTGAAGTCTAAACCTGTGTTGGGTAAGTAATTGTGTGATCTTGAGTGCGGATGGAAGTTTGGGGAACGAAACAAAATGAGCAGCCTTGGAAAATATGTCTATGGTGTTAAGGATGACAGAATTTCTTTCAGAGATGGGGAGTCCATTGACAAAATCCAGTGCCATATTGGACCAAAGTCATCCAGGTGTGGGTAGAGGTAGAAGTTGAGCAAAGGGTGGTTGTTCTTACTCCTAGAGCAGGTGGGGCATGCTGCAACAAACTCCTTGATGTCAGCRCAAAGCTTAGGCCACCAAAAATGTCTTAGTGAAAGACAACACATGGTTAATACCAGGATGACAAGAAATCCTTGAAGCATGCACCCAAGCCAAGACTTTACCTCTGATGACCTCAGGAACAAACTTCTTGCTCGGGGGACCAGAACCTGGGTCAGATTCAATGGCTTGGTCCTCCATAATGGTGTTATTAATGTCCCAAGTTGAGCAAGTGGGACGAGGAGGGATGTTTCCTTCAGTCTTAGGTTGGTCATAGGAAGAGAATAGATGGGAGAGTGTGGCTTATCATTGTTGGACTCTGGTCTGCAGGTAATGGTGAGGATGAATTGAGCAAAAAAGAGATCCTCTTTCTTTCATGCATTTGATCTCTTATCTTTATGGAGGTGTGCCAAATTTTCATGATCTGTCCAAATGATGAACGGCACCTCTGATCCCTCGAGCCAGCGTCTCCACTCCTTCAATGCTAGTTWGGTGGAGAGCAGTTCTCGGTTTCCCACATCATAAATCTGCTTCTGGGGTTCAAGAGGAGGCATGAAAAGTGGAGATTAGATTGGTAAGAGGAGCTGCTACTTGACTGTACAGTAGTTGTGGATAAACGACAATTGAAGTTTGCGAATCCCAGAAAATGTTGCATTTGTCTCCGGACTTGGGGAAGAGCCCACTCTGCCACTGCACATGTCTTCTCAGGGTTTGTACACCTGTCCTTCAAAAATACGATCAAGAAAAGTTATAGTGTCAGTGTGAAACTCACATTTCTCAGCCTTGACAAAGAACTGATTTTCTAGAAGTCATTGAAGTAGCACCCAGACGTGCCTAGGACTGAAATGCATCATCCACAGTAGTTGTAGTTCCTCTCCGTCGRGTGCTCACAAAGACCATCATAACTTTAACTTTAACTTTTAACTTTAAAAAACTTTATTGTCATGTTGCATGCACAAGGTGTATRCAAAACGAAATTTCGTTGCATACGGCTCAGGACAGTGTTTTGAGCTTTCAAAAATACAGTATAAAATATGCATGTAAATATAAAAATATAGAGTGCAGGAATGACAATAAAATAGAAGTTCTTTAGTTCTGTACATGGGCAAGATATAAAGTGATCAGTCCAAAAGGCCAGATTTATTAACTCATCCAAGCTTCCTGGTTCGTCCCTCGTAGCAAGTTGATCCTTGAGGTTTTCATTTTAAAGAATTTGAAAACTTACCTTTGAACAATCTCTCCTTCCAGTCAGCTTCTTGAGTGGTGATCCAAAACTGTATGAAGTGCTCAGACTCAGATTGCTTCCCTTTACGCAGCTTTAGTAACCATAACAGTAATGTTATATTTTTATATTTCCATAACAAAGCCAAAAACATTTTATAGGCACAGTAAAAATTAAGACTTTACAATTTCACGCCCATGTGAATGAAAATAAAATGTAACCTTCATGATTAAAACAGTACCTGAAAATTTTACAGACTCTCTAACAATAAAATCAAACATAAAAAAGTAATTTTGGACGATATCAAATAGTGCAGTTTAAAACAGTTTTTCTTATTTATTGATGTGCATTTCTGAAAAGCAGGTATGCAGTCAATGTAAACAAAGCACTTTTATCTGCTTACTTTACTCATCAAATCTTTTTTTGTATTTGTTCATTTCATTAAAAACACATCACATACAACAAAACAATGCAAATCAAATAACATGAAAGGCAGCCGAAGAAAAAAAATCTTATGATATCTGCTCCTATTTACAACAAAAATTATATTAATTTCAAACAATAATAAACCAAATAAAACAAAAATAAAAATTCAGCTCCTCAAACAGTAACATGCAAATACAAATTAAACAATTTCATGTTTCACATTTCTTTATCTGCTAACTATCAGGTTGTAGGAGAGAGTCAACGTGAGCAAGTACTAGTAACAAACAGAGCCAGAGAACTGATGTAAAAAGGTAAGTGAGTTTATTATATACAGGTGCAGGGGTCTTGGRGACGGGACCTGGAAACAGAGTTATGGTAGAGGTGAGTAATGGGTAGATTTTCCAGTAGAGTCTTTTACAGGTGAGTAATGGGAGGCGTTGCTTACAAGTTGGAGAAGGAGATGAGTCTTGGAGGAGTTGGTCCAACAGGTGAGGTTTCCATAGGTGAATATTTACAGGTGTGGTTATATTTACAGATCCTCGGAGGTGGCTGCACATGGAACTCGGGAGAATGCAGTAAGTGTTTCTCAGGCAGGGAGGCAGGCGTGCTGGAGGTAACTTCTAGAAAACAGGTAAGACACAAAAAACGGACACGGGTAAGTAATTTCAAGTTTCATAAACACAAGGAG